AGGTCATGATCTCCTTTCGAAAAGATGTCTGCATAATTCGCCAAAAGTTCTTTTACCTGATAAGCCTGTGATGATGCCAAATGGACTATGCTCTTCTTATAGAGGTCAGTTAAATCTTCTGGAAGTGTATGTCTTTTCCTTACAGTTGTATTTCTTGCTTTAACATTGACTGTTTCTACCTCCTGGCACACACCCAACAATGCCCCTTCCTTAAGTGTCTGTTCACATTTAGAGAAATTGGCCACTGTTATAGGTACTACTTGATGACCTATCACAAGTGACCTTCCAATCTTCAAATCCGCTGGCCTGGATGGGTCTTCCACTGCTTCCACAAGCATTGGGCTTCCATGGGGATGTTCTTTTATCCTACTCCAAATTATCTTCTCTGACATAAGGAGTATTGTAGTTGACTTAAGTGATGTGCCATGAAGATCAACGGATGCAGCAACACTTACTGGAATCTGGCCTTTGTTGTTTCCAAACGTCATTTTATCGAAGTTAACTACACACTTCCTCGGTAGTAAATAGTCCAATCCTAATATGCATTGGTCTTCAATGTCAGCCAAGTATACTTTCTGTCTGTTCTTCATGTCTGGGAGTTCAATAGTTACCCACACTGGTCCCCACAACCTTACATAATGTCCTGTCACACCACAGAGCTTCTGTACAACTTCTGGTACTCCTTTGTGATCCAGCTCTTTGATACTCACAACGGTTTGCTGAGATGCAGAATCTATGACAAAGTTGCACCTTTGGCCATCCAGCTTTCCTGTCACATAGACACTGTGTGTGTGTGCTAGGCATTTTACACCTAGCTGTTGGGACTTTCATGATGGGGTTGGTGAGTGTCCGTCAACACCAACCACTACTGGTCTTCTTGAGGCTGACTTGTTGGTAATATTCTTTTTACACTGGCTCCTCATATGGCCTTGCTTTCCACAGTTCCAACAACTTTCTGGGTAGCAGTCTTTCCTGCCATGGCATCTTCCCTGTGTTAAAGTCTCCAGCATTGAGCTCTC